TAGCCGCAACTCCTGCGTCAGCGCCTCGTGGAACGCCAGCGCACTCGCCTTCGAGCCGCAGTAGTCCGCCATCTCACCCACCGCGATGAACGACGCCATGCTGGCCATCGTCACGACGTGGCCGTGGTTCTCGCGGATTATGGCCGGCAGGAACTCGCGCACCATCCAGAAGTGCGAGATGGTGTTGACCTGGAAGGTGCGCTGGATGCGCTCCTCGGGCTCGTCGAGGATGGTGCCCCCATAGCCGACGCCGGCGTTGTTGATCAACACGGTTGGGTCGCCGTGCGCGGCGCGGATGGCGTCACCGACGGCTTTGATGATGGCGGTCGAGGTGACGTCAGCTGCGTAGAAGAACACGTTGGGAGCTGCGTTTGCGAGTAATGTCAGGACATATATTTATTTACTTTATATTCCATTTCTATCTACTTCAAATTCGGAAAGACATGGGGGATGACATACGCAGCTTAAAGCTCGGCTCAACCACGTCTAAAATGACAACTCTAACCCCCTTCTGTGCGAGGTCGAGCATAATCTGTTTTCCAATGCCGCTGCACCCGCCCGTCAGGAGCACGAGTTCGCGCTTGTTGTCCCATGGCCGCTGTCTTTGCCAATTGTTCACAACCAGGCTTGAGAGGGTGCGGTTGGCGGAGCGGAGGATACTGAGCACGAGTACAGCGAGAAGGGCCTTTGTGAGGAGCGAGGAGTTAATATAGGAGAGGACTGAGGCAAGACTATTACCGACATAGCGGTAGAGTAGGTCGTGGGGTTTTTGCAGGGCAGACATTATATATATATATATATATATATATATATATATATATATTTCCCCCCCTTTCTTTCTATATTTATGTAATATTGCTATCTCCCATATGTTAATTTTTTGTTCTTCACAGATATTTTATGCACTGGGAAGTAGGATTTGGTGGTGGTGGTGGTGGTGGCGGCGGTCGTCGGAGTCAAAATCGAAGTCGGTGTAGAGTATTACGACTCCGTTGCTGGTTTCCTGAGCAATCTGCCTTAAGCAGGGCTTGTCGCTTGTCATTCTATTTCTATTAATTAATATTTGACATTTTATAGGGATTCGCTGTCCGTTGTAACATCCTTGTGTTCGTCTGCTTGCGCCCATGTCTCTCTGTACGCTGTATGTATAATATCGCAACATTCTTGGCTTCCCGCTGGGTCTCGGAAGAACTCCTGGAGGATTACGGAGTACCTTTTCACATGAACCTGATGAGCGACGGGACAGTGGGGTAACTAGCGGGTTTTCTCAGAATTCCTGGCTTTTGTCATGGTGTTTGGCTGTCTTGTGGTCATAATGCTGGTCATTCTAATGGTCATCCTAATGGTCACCTATTGTGGCGGACGTAAAGCTTGCGAAAACAGAATTTTCTGCCACCCCCTGAAAAATAGTAGCAGAACACCGCAGAAATAACCAAAATATCCATGTATCTCTAGAATCATTCAAATATCATCCAATTTATTCAAAATACACACCTTTATCATCAAATACACACCTTTATCATCAAATCTGTCAAAATGTCCTGCAACATCCACTGTTTTACTGCCTCACAATTTCATCAAAAAACTTCAATTATTCTGCATCTTCTGTAACGTTTTAATTTAATAATTTTATTTATACCTTGTTCATTCAAGTGTTCTACAAGATATTTTCCTTTTCTTTGCTCCGTTCTCTAATTTAGTGTGTTGTACAGAAAAGCTAAATAATAATAATCCTGAAGATATTCATTTTAAAGAATGATTAGCTTTTTATATTTTTGTTGCTAATTTTTTAATTTTAATGATATTGTAAAGATTTTTGATATATTACTGAATCACCAATAAAAAAATTATTCATTTTTTTCTGATCTTGTAGCTGTACCAAAAAAATTTTTAATAAAACTTAAAACTTTTACATCATGACTACTTTGAGCAATCTCCAAAGTAACTAACTAACTAAGATTTACAATTACATAATCTTTATCTACTAGTTAACTAACTAAAAGACTAAAAATTTAGTTTCATCTCTGCGGGACAGCGAGTTTCACGTTCTGGGCAAATTATCAAACCCAGCAGGTATTAACTACATTAACTATTTATATTTTTATAGTGTATTTTGTATGTACTTTTAATGGTTAATATATAATTTTAATATCTAATTGCGTTGTTGAGATATCGTAGATTTTAATCATCTTGTTGAATTGTAAATGAGCGATCGTTAGGTGGGAGCGGTAGTTAGGTGGGTGATCACGTTAATGGTCACAATTATCCCGCCGAGCCGCCGTTCGGAGAGAAATTTGAAGTCTCGGCCTGGTCTAACGGGGCCTAATCTTTTGATCCGTTACCGTTGCGTGTTGGACATATCGGGGGCGCTTCCCCCTTCACGAATGCTTACCCCAATGTGATCGATGGTTCGGCCATTTCGTCCTTGTATCCATATCCAACCACCACATGATGTGCTGAACCAACAACGGCTTACGATATTTTGTTGGGGGGGGGGGGTTGGAAATCGAATAAAAAGCGAGCAAACGAATAAAATGAATAAAATCATCAAAAGAGGTTAAAAGTGAAATGAAATAAAATAACATAACGAGGATGCGTTGCCATACTCCTCCATATATCGACGACACACACAAGTCAGAACCAGAATGCACCCTGGGTCTGGATAATAACTTGAAGGCATGCATAGCAATTGTTATTCCCAGTCGTTGGCCGGCTCGCTGTCCTGGAAAGCTCTGCTCTGTACTCCGTAGCGAGCCCTGTTTCCCCAAGTTGGGTTTCCACCTCACCATCTCTGCCTCCGTGGTTTGGTGGTGAATATTCTGTTGAAGCTGCTGTGCTTTTGGATATCACCACTCGCTCACTCCCTACCGCGCGCCTACCTGGGTAAGAACGCTCCCCTTCTCTGATCACATAGTCTCTAATGATTCCTGTGTAACCGTTGATGTTCTTCTGTCCTGCACTCCACTAGAGCGCGACCTCCAGTATTCTTCCATGCTGACTCCTCCTCTATAAGAACCCCTTCATACAACCTTTTCTTCTGATCTCTTTTCTCTTTCTTTTCTCTATCAATTTGTTATCTGTATCAGGATAGTGCTTAGTCTGTTTGTACACCCGTTGCAGATAGTGCAGATGGTACAATCCGTAGCACGCCCGTTACAGACTTATTCGCGCTCACTGTTTTGGGGCCTAGCCCAAATGGAATGAATTATAAAGACCACGTTCCTGTCGCCAGAAATCACACAGCATTGCAAGATATATCAGATTTCTTCAAATTGCATATCATCGCTAGCTATCATCGCTAGCTATCGACCCAGACACAGACTGAGTTTCATGGACAGCGACCGAGTACAAGAGCTTCTGGCTGAACTTCAAGAAGAGAAACGACTCCGAGAAGCTACAGAAGCTGAGGCGAGGAAGGAAAGACAACAACGCGAAGAAGCAGAAGTCTATCAACAAATTCAGAGCCTACAACCCCGCTTCCCTTCCTTCATGCATGCCACGAACTCTTGCTCGGGATTCGTATCGTGACAGACCCTACCAAAACAACCAAGGGTCCAGTAACAAATCAGACAGTTCCCTCACTCATCAAGATATGGGAGAGCTTCAATGATGGGCAGTCAGAAGTGTGGCAGACGCTCAATAGTTATCCATCAAAACACCAGCTTGATTCTATTCGCCAGCGCATTGCGCCAATCACTTCGGAATGGGATCTTCGATACTACGAGACGAGACACAATGGAGAATCAAGTCCAGGATATAGTTGAAAAGATCACTAAAGACAAGGCCCTTAGAGATGCATTTGGGCTACGAGGCCCGATCACTTTTGAGAGCCATACAAACCTGGGCCACCCAGCGGGGAACCTGCCAAGTGGAGGCCAGCAAAACCCCAGCGGTCCTGTGTCAAGAAACTTAAAAAGAAACACAAACCCCAGAAGAGTAAGGAGAAACCTGCTGCGGTTACAGTAGGGCAAGCAGATCTATTTTGAATCTATCGACAGGAAGGCTGTGAACACATTCCCGCAATTGCAATTGAATATATAAGGCGCCTCACAAGCTCACACGGGCTGAGATGGACAAGGGCTTAACCAAAGAGATTCGACCCGCCCAGGATGCGATCAATCAGGAGTCCGATGGCGTTGAATCTTGCTGCAGAAGACTTGTTGCTGCAGCCATAACTCAACTCTTTTCTTACATGGTGCACAAAGGCGTACGTTACGGCTATGTGTGCACCGGAGAAGCTTTCATCTTTGTACACATCCCAGATGATCCATCTTCAGTTCAATGCGCGCTTTGTATCCCAAGTTTGAATGTCAAGGCAACTGAGGGCAGTGATATCCAGTTGACTGCTGTTGCTCAGGTTCTAGCATTTACAGTAATTGCCTTGAAATGCCCCCGAGTTTCGCAGCAATGGCATGATGCTGCCAAAAGGCTTGATGTTTGGCCAGTGGAATATTCTGAAATTCTGAAGCAGACTCCACCGGCTGCTCGCCTAATAATGCCTCGCCCTTGTATCATGGTCGACGACCGCGTGACCTTTCGCCGCTCAAGATTTCATTACGATCAGGGAGAGGAGGATGCCGACCATCTGAATTTGACCGCCAATCAACAAATTCTCCCTCATCATCACCTCCTTCATCTCCTACTTTTGCTTCACGCCCTGCCCTGACCAAAGGGGGAGGCTCTGTCCAACCTGGAAAGCCGAGTGGGGCTCAAGGACATGGAAAACCCAGTGATACGAACCAGACTTCCCATGTTGCCAAACCACCAGCGATAAAACTCGCCCCTACTGCTCTCAGAAATGCCTACTTGCACTTAGAGATGGTGGCCCATTCGATCCATCATGCCCCAACCACCAGGATCACCAAAAGGGCCAGATAAATGTACAAGAATTCTGCTCTCGTATGCAGACACAGCTTGCCACATATCGTGGGCCAGATGCCGACTGTTGTCCATTCTACAAGGCAGGAAGTTGTGGGGCATTGTTCAAACTGAGGCTATCATCACATGGATACACTCTGGTCGCCAAGGGTGTGGAATACGAGAATCGGCATAAGCTTGAACATGAAATGCTGGTCTACAATAGGCTTCAAGCCAGTCTGTCTGGGTGTTGTTCAGCTGGAGTCAGAGTATCCCTATTACTATGATGGTGGAATTTACACCCACATGTTATTCTTAAGTTGGGCGGGAGAACCGGTCCAAGAAAGCACGAACTCCAGCCACGCCGAAGATATTTTATCCCTGGTGTCCCATGCCCTCCGATCCATTCACTCCAAAGGTGTACTCCACGGTGATGCTGAATTACGAAATATACTGTGGAACTCAACTTGCAAACGCCCAATGATAGTTGACTTCGAACGAGCCACAATACGCCACACACTATCAGATGTGCCCGGTAACGCAACGAGAAAGAGGAGGAGGGTGGATGAGACAGGTTTTAGGAAGGAGATTGAGCGCATCGAAACTGCATTTGGGAGATGCGTTGCATAGTTTAGGATGCCTTCAATTTTGGCAGCACCCTGATACATCTCGACCTCCGATGGCGATACATCTGCAGCCATTTCCGAATTGCAGTTTTGCACTTTTACATGATCCATTCTTTACTATTCTATGACTCTCTATACTGAAACCGTTTTTTCCTAGAACCCTTGTGTCATGCAGCCCTTCTGTCGCGGAGTGAATGGCGGACGCCCTTTATTGGCTGGCAGTGTTCAATAAAACTAATCTATATTTCCTTTCCAGAGCCCATAAGATTATTACAGGGGGTTCAACCACCAAATAGATGCTCAGGCAAGCCAGTCTACCAATATGCTAGAACTCGCACCTATGCCAAACAAGATCTCTTTTTCACATACCCTTCCTTCTTCCGCGCCCTAGCATGATATTGATTGGTGACTTTGCCCGGCGTCCCTGGACTTAACCACCCTGTCCACGGACCACACATCTGTCAAACAAACTCTGTTCTGACCTGGGAATATAAGCTTATCCACCTTTGGCTCCACTTTGGCTTTGGCCTGTACTTTTTTTTTTTTTTTTTTTTTTTTTTTTTTTGGAGTTTTCCTACATGGGCTAATCACATAAGAACTTGTCAATAAGCATGAAAGAAGAAGAAGAATAATAATAATAATTTCATTGATCTCTTGTCCCCATTGCATCTGGGAGAAAGATAACAGAGTTCCGTCTCCGTCGTCGATGCTCGACATCGGAGCGGGTTTACATATTTCCAGATCACCACGCGCTTACCGCAGAAATCAGTCTTCAGCTCCAAATATTAATTCTCAGCTTCTCCACAAAGCAAGGAGCCAGAACAAGCCAGCCATTTCACCTTGCTTCTGCCTCTCTTGCACTGTCTGTGCTCTTGAGCGACTATGCCTTCTTCAAAGTCGTCATATTTCTATATCCTCCTTCTCTCCCTCCTAACCTTCACCTCCGCCTCCATCCTCGCCATCACAATCCCACCCTCAAACCTATTACCGAACCCCAATTCCCTCCCAGCTTCCACACACGCGACCCTCACTACCCTTCATTCCTCTCCTTCCTCATCTTCGTCTTCATCGGCCTCCGGAGCTTCTGCGCCCGCTCGCCTCCTCAAAGCACCACTATCACGCAAATCAAATTTCGTATTCAAGTTCCCCTCGGGACAGGCTCAGGGACCACAGTCATTCCTCCTCGATATCCACTCACGGGACTATATATTTGCGCCGTATCGCGTCGATGTCGATGCGGAGGGTAGTGTAGTGGGCGTGTGGGAGACCTTCAGGGGGAATGCGTGGGAGAATCGCGGAGTGGAGAAGGGCATGATTCAGGTTGAGAATGCTGTGGTTGTTGAGGCGAAGGTGATGGGTAAGAGGACATTTTATGAAGAGAGGGTCGGGTGTAAGTTTCCCTTTTTTTTTTTTTTCTTTTTGTTTATTGAGTCCTTTCGTGTAACAGAGAGAACTTTTTTTCTATTCTTCTCCTTTTTTTTTTTTTTTTTTTTTTTTTTATATTTATATTTATTTATTTATTTTTTTTTTTAATCAAACTTTTGAGGAAACCATATACACTAAACGAAACGATTAATTAATCTTGGTTTTACAGTTTCGCCGTTGAGCATGTTAAAGAACCCGATGATTCTACTCGTAGTCTTTGCTCTTGGTGTGACTGTTGGGATGCCTTATCTGATGGAAATGAGTACGTGTTTACCTTCCGCCCATGATCCCCAACCATTTTCCATCACATCGTTGGTGCCATCTCTAACAAAATTACTTCAAAAACACAGTGGATCCAGAGACACGTGCGGAATTTGAAAAACAATCCCGCAAGGGCCGAAACGCTGCGGCAAATGATATAAATGCCAGAGGGGCCGCTGGTGCTGGCCGTGGAGCGGGAGCGGGAGCGGGAGCTGGAGGGTTTGACCTGGCTGGGTGGATGGCAGGGACGAGCCAGGGACCAATGGCCGCTCTGGATTCGACAATGAAAGCGGCTGCGAGCGGAAGAGAAGCCGGATCGGGATCAGGAGTGCGGAGGAGGTGAAGATGTTGTATATGAGCTTTGCACGGTGCATATGCCTGCCTCGATTGGTTCTATGCCGCCCTAAACAACCAGTGGTTCGTTGCCTATTTCTGGCTGTCTTTTCTTTCTGTATAAACGGATGTAATGTACAGGTTATACGGAACCATAGCTGACGGCTGATGAAAAAAGACATGTAATATCAATATCTATGTATTTGAGCATTCCCTGTTGAATAGATTACCATTTGCTAAAGCTGCGCCACAATCCAAGGCTGAGCAACTCTCCGCGACGGGAATTACGTCAGCGCCATGTCCCGCTCTGCCGACTTTGCCGCATTCGGACTCCAAGCCCTAATTTATTTGCCAACCATCGCATCCGTCACGAACAAGAACAGATATCCAATCCAGGGTTGCCCTTTCTCGAATATATAGTATATACCCGCCTTGAGTCCTTACGCATACCCTGTTCTGCCAGCCAGGCATCGCATCGTGTCAAGATACTACTATATCGATTGCAGAGGCATGCCATTCGCACCCCCAGCCGGTCCTCCACCTCCCCGTGTCCCCGATGGCTGGGTAGTGCAGTTCGATGATAAGTACAAGGAATGGTGCGTCCTATCGCTTATTGCAAGCCCACAGAGCACATGGAAAAGGGAACGCATCCGCCATAACACACTAACACCAAACACTGAAATACAGGTTCTACGTCAACTTGAAAACTGGCATTTCTCAATGGGAACGACCTCCAGTTCCTGATACACTTCCACCGTCATACGACCAAGCATCTCCAGCGACGACCGGTGATCCAGCCACCACTGCTACTGCTGCTGGTGACGAAGCTGCAACAGGCGATGTTATGAAGACATCTACCATTACCACCTCCTCGTCCACACGGCTGGAACTGGGATCGAATAACCCATATAATCCAGCGCGGAGTAGGAGCCCTTCGGGACCCGCTACCCGTACAACTGCAGATAGCCAGATGATAGATGAAGATGCCAAGTTAGCCGCAAAGTTGCAGGCGGAGGAGGATGAACGAGCACAACAGGGACACGAACAAGGGCAGCAAAAATATGCAGGCAGTCCACCGTCACACCCGCAACTTCCACCACAGCAACAATATCAACAACAAGAACAACAACAACAACACCCCCATTCATCGCCGCCGCCGCCGCAGCATTGGCAGCAACCACAAGAAACAAAAAGATCCAGCGGCGGCGGCTTCTTCGGCAAACTATTAAACAAAGCGTCCGCCAAAGTCCATCACGGCAGCAGCAACAGCGGTAGTGGCAGCGGTTTTGCCCCCCCGCACAACTACAACCAACCATACCAACAACAGCCATATCAACAATATCAGCCGTCCCCGTACCCGGGCCCACACGGATATAACGGCTACCCGCCCGGGGCCGCCCCCGCCGGCGGTGCCCCCTTTTATGGCCCGCAGCAGCCATATGCGCCAGGACCACCGCCGAAACAGCGAAAGAGATTTGGCGGCATTGGGCCCGGCGGAGCCGCGGCGCTAGGCCTTGGTGGTGGCTTGTTGGGCGGTGCGTTGTTGGCGGATGCGATTGGTGATCATTATGATTATCAGGAGGGGTATGAGGATGGACTGGCGGCGGGGGATTTCGGAGGGGGTGATTTCGGAGGAGGGGATTTTTGATTGGAGGATTGTAGAAAGAACCTGTCCCTTGTTTTGTGGTTTTTTTTGCTCCTTGACTGTTTTTTTTTTTTTTTTTTTTTTTTTTTTTTTTTTTTTTTTTTAAAATTGCGTGGAGTTTTGGGGGGTTTCATCAGCCTCAGTGGAGGCCTGTTGGTTTGTTTGTTTCAATTCACCCCATCTCTATTTATTTCTTTTTTCTTTTTTTGTATGTATTCGAATCATTTTTACTAGCTGCACTCCGTATATATGTATATATAAAACCACCGTAGCTTGACCAGCGATATATTATATATCTTCTTCTGCTTCTTCTGACAAAACCTAAGCTTCAAACGTTACTGGTGGGTGTTCTGCTGTACGCATACAGTACCCAGCCGCCCCGCAACGATTGAGAACAGCATTCATACACGGAATCCGTTGAGCTGATTTTTCCAACTTCCGCATCGCTAAAAATGTATGTATATGTACAGTACAGATCAAGGGCACTGGGGCGTGGCAAGTGAATGGGCTAAGAGTTGTGAGGCCATATATACATACTTAGTCTTCGCTTTTGAAGTGTTCGGGAAACGACACAGTGACTTGAGGGAATGGAGAGTGGGATGGACATGTTATTTAGCGATATCTCTGAACTTCCTGAGGGAGTGTGAAACTCGAAGCGAAGCGCATTGGGCTGGGCGGGGAAGAGGAGGGAGAGGAGGGACTGTTGAATTTATATTATATATATATATATATATATATATATATGTACTGTAAGAAGTTGGCAAAGGAGCGGCCTCAGCCCCCTTTCCAATCCTCCCTTCCCTCATCCCATCCCATCCCATCACGTCACGTCACATCATAGTTATCATAGTTACCATATAAATCCCATTTCTATCTGTTTCCTTTCCCCCCACAGCGAAACAAACCTCACCTCTCCCCCACCGTCCCCGCAATCACCATCTGCGCCCAGAAATACAACCCAAACCCCAACGCCGGCCGCAGCCACCCCGGACGCTGCGCACGCCGCCGTCGTCGTCTCCCAAACATATCCTCCGCCACGAAGAGGTCGGACGCAACAAACATGGCCGCGCCCAGCGCAAGCTGATACGGCCATGCAGTCGCAGTCGCAGTCGACGCAGCAACCGCCAACATCCCGCTGATGATTGCGGCGTAGCCGCCGATGAGAGCGCGCATGTCGGCTGGGATCGCGAGGTTGAGGACGTTCGTGCGGAGCAGACGCTGCGGTCCGTTGGTGGTGGTGGTGGTGGTGGTGGTGGCCTTGGCCTTGGTCTTGGTCTTGTGTTGCTTCCGCTCCCCGCGCCCGTTGGCAGGCGGGTAGATGATGCCGAGCCATCTGGCGAGGAGCATTGCGGCGGCGAATGTGCTGGTGAATATCGGCCGGGAGAAGGAGGAGGAGGAGGAGGAGCCGGCGGCGGCAGTTGTGCTGGTGCCGGAGATGCTGCTGCTGTGGCTAGTATTGTTTTGCAAGAAGGCGAGGATGTACGCGGCGTGGGCGGCGGCGAAGGCGCAGACGCCGACTTTGACGGAGGTGGATGGTTTCTTTGCCTCCTCCTCCTCCTCCTCCTCCTTCCTCATCGTTATCATCGTTATCATCGTTATCATCGTTATCACCGTTATCATCGTTAATACCGTGGCCATCACCCGCCCGTTCCTTGCGCGCCGCCAGCGGTCCGGTGTGTTTCTCGTAGTACTCCGCGCGGGCGGGGATGAGGCAGTAGTCGCCGACGGCGGAGAAGAGGAGGCCGGCGGCGATGCGCAGGTGGTAGGGGTGCCATGGTCGCCAGTGGAGGGGCGAAGGGGAGGGCGCGAGGTAGTAGAGCGGGCCGGCCAGGAAGGCGGCGGAGGAGACGAGTTTGAAGACGCAGCTGCCCGGGTAGAAGGCGAGGCGTTCTGAGAGGATGAGGAGGGGGAGGGAGGTGTTGAGGAGGCGGATGGCTGGGGGAGGGGGCAGGGAGAGGGCGGGCATTGTTGTGTGTGGGTTCTTCTATATTGTATATTTTTATTTGATGGATGGTGGGTGGGGGATGAGACTCCCTTTCTTTCTTGCTCGTGGATTATTTTATTTTGTTATTTTTCATGTAATTTAGTCAAATCCATTTGATGAGTTATTATCGGGTGCTTCGGGATAGGAAATAGGAACTTCACCTCGGCTGCTCTGTTCTCCATTATCAAAACTTAGCCTTTTTTAAGATGCGGTTCCAAGGTTCTTCATCTGTCTTCTCCCACTCTCACTGTGTAGAACCCCCCAAGAAACGTTAAGTCCTGTACAGAGTTGCATGTATGAATGCATACATACATACATCTACGTGAGGAGAAGCGGGAGATGGATAGGTGGTCATCAGAAACGAGAGAGAAAAAGGGAGAGAGTTAGACGAGCATATATCACAGTAATGCAACAGACCATCGGCAGGGACACACATAAAAGAAGATGGAAATGGACGATAAAGAGGAGGAGAGGAAGACGAAAATGGATGATAAAGAGGAGAAGAGCAAGAACGAAAACCAGAATAAGAAAAAAAAAAAAAAAAAAAAAAAATCTAGATAAGGCATCAAATAAACCTGTCTAGAACATTGGAGAAAATGGATGTTGACAAGCATGTAACATAACAATTAACATAACAACACACATCATGCATTTCAAAGAAAAAGAGAAACCCAGAAAACAAGACAGAGAGGGAAAAAGCAAGATCGCGAAACGCCAAAGCCAACTCCATCTGTTTCCATCGCCATCGCCATCGCCATCTCCATCTCCAACAAACAAGAAACCACCCCTGTCTATCCCACAGCCAACATAGATCTGTACATAGGACACCATCATCGAGAAACTTCTCTATGCAGCGGCACCACTCATCCTGCGTCCCGCATACTAGGCAAAACATGTGACGGCAAAAAAGGGTATGGTGTTTGTGGCTTTTGTGCTTTGCATTTATATGTTTTTCTTTTCCTATTGGTTTTAATTATTTTTTAAAAATTTTTCTTTTCTTTTTATTTTTTAGATATCAATATATACGAGGACACGACGGGTGGATGGATATGTGTTACAACTTGGCCTTGGCGCTGCGTCTCAGTGGTTTCTTCACTGCGGGGACCCGTTTGTATAGCTCGTCGAGCAGCGCGCGATATGTGGTCACGGTCTGGGGGCGTTTGAGTTTCAGGCTTGCGTTTGGATGGGGTTGTTAGCTAAGGGTGTGTATAAGGGGGAAAGGGATTTAAAAAAAAAAAAAAAAAAAAAAAAAAAAAAAAAAAAAAAAAAAAAAAATTAAGAAAACCACTCACGTTGGCGTCAACAGCCCATTCTCGATCGAAAACGGCTCAACCACCATCGCGACGGCCTTCACCTTCTCAAAGCCGGCGAGGCGGTGCTCCTTGCTCGCGCGGTCGAGATCCGCCTGCACTGCGCGCACAATCCTCTCATCCGCCGCCGCCGCACGGATCGCCTCCATGTCATCTGGTGCAATGGTCTTCTCCAGCACGCGGCTTGCAAATGTCGCAAAGGTGTCTGGCTGCACGCCCATGATGGCCACCAGTGCGGTCTGCGAGCTGTCCCCGTGCACAAACGCCTGCGAGATGTACGAGCATGCCGTCTGGTAGATGCCCTCCAGGCGCTCGGGCGAGACGTACTCACCCTGCGCGAGCTTGAGCAGGTTCTTGCGCCGGTCGATGATGGTGAAGTGGCCCAGATGGTCGACCTGGCAGACATCGCCGGTGCGGAACCAGCCGTCCTCTGTTAGGGCGTTGGCAGTCTCCTCGGGGTTCTTGTAGTATTCTTTGAGGATGGAGTTGCTGCGGAGCAGCAGCTCGCCGCGCGGGTACGGTTTGTCATCGACGAAGTACTCCATGTCCGGTAGGGAGACGAGGCAGGCTTCAAAGCCGGCTTGCAGCGGGCCACAGTGGCCTGCGGTGAGGTCAGACCTGAGCTGGCAGAGGCCTGTTGCGTAGCTTTCGGTGAGACCGTAGCCTTGCATAATGGTGCAGGCGAAGGCGACGCGGAGGAATTGGTGGAGGGATTGGTCGAGCGGTGCGGAACCGGAGACCATGTTGCGGAGGCGGTCGAAGCCAAGAGCAGAGCGGACCTTTTTCGACCAGATGTGGTCGTAGAGCATGTGTGTGTTCGTGGGAGATTCGGGGCGTTGGATATTGGCGGTTTTGACGTTGACGACATGCCGGGATAGAATGCCCTTGAAGCCGGGGGCTTCGACGGAGGAGGCGCGGATAGCGCCTCCGAAGCGGTTGTAGAGGCGCGGGACGGAGGCGATCAAGGTGGGCCTAAGGGCTTTGAAGTCGTCAACGAGCTCGAGAATGTCGCCGTGGAAGTAGCCGATGCTACCACCGGCCCACAGAGACATGTGTTCCATAAGACGCTCGAAGATATGTGCGAGGGGCAGATAGGAGGCGAGGATATCGGTGGGATAGTGCATGCAGGAGCCCATGCCGGACGAGGTAGCGGAGACGGCGTTTCGATGCGTGAGGACGACTCCCTTGGGATTGCCCGTGGTGCCGGAGGTGTAGTTGATGGTAATGATGTCGTCGGGGGAAGGAGGGTTGTAAGGGCGGTTCAACGAAGCGCCCAGTTCTTCCACCTCAGACAGGGTGTAAATCTCCAGGCCAGCTGCGGCGGCCAGCGGCGCAAGGATGTCCCGCTTGGAGTGGCCTAGCTGTTCGCCGGCATCCAGTGGATCCATGCAGACGATGAGCTTCAGCAAGGGCAAATCGCGTTTCATTTCGATCAAAGTGGAAACATGGGGCAGTGACGTGACGACACAGCGGAGTTCCGCATTGTCGATGATATATTTCGTGCCCTCAACCCCCAGGGTCTCGTACATCGAGACGGTATACAGTGACTGAGACATGCATGCTAGATCTGAAAGGTTACAAGAAAAGGGACATGTTAGCAACTGTTAATTGTATTCATTCACGGGAACCGAAAACACACAGCTGCAACTCTCTGAACTCACTCACCTGTGATTTGCCATTCCGGCCGGTTCTGGCACCAGAGACCAACACCATACTGCGCACCCTGCACGCCAATGCGGGAATGAAGCTCGACCAAGCCGACGCCGAAGGCCGCACGACGTTTCTGGACGGTCTGATAGTCTATCCACTGGTACGGACCCCAGGTCTTGTTAACGGGATCCCAGGCACGAGCTCCCAGGCATCGGTTCTTCGGGTTTCGACTGACTGTTGGTAATAAAATAGTAGAGTAATATAATCAGCGGATGAGATGACAATTGAAAAAGAGAGGACAAAGAGTAGAAAACAAAACAAAAACAAAAACAAAAACAAAAAAATCCCCGGATCCGCCCAAATTGAAATTGAATGAATTGAACTGAATTTGGTCCGAACTACGGAGTACTTACCACTTGACTCGAAAATATCATGGGCGGTGAGAACCTGGAGAGATATTAAATATCCGACGGAAGGATCAATTGAGTTAGCTCGCCTGCAACCAGGGGGTCATGTCGCGCATTCTTCACTCGACAGGGATTACTGCTACAGTTATACGTGCATCTGAAGTTTCGGACACGAACCTGAGGATCCAGCGTCTTCAGCAGCTCCCCACTGCCAGACTGCCAGTGACGGTATATCCTCGAGCGACCTGGCCTTTCGGTGCCGGGGAGGGCGATGCATTCGGGGGTACCCTTTGGGGGACGCTGGGCGTAGGCCTCGCCGACGGCCTCGTACTCCCGCTTAGGCGAAAACATGATAGGTTTCTTATTTATGGCAACGAATCCTCTTACCCCAGCGTAATTCAACGGTAGTGAGTTGGCGGGGGAGGAGGAGGCGCGAGAGAGGTGAGGTCAGGTCAGATCAGGTCAGGTCAGGTCAGGTCAGGTCAGGTCCAGGGGAAACAGGAGAGATTTTGTTTCGCAAGGATGAGCGCTTCGCGGGAGGACGACTCGAGGGGTTTCGCAGGGATGAAGCAAACGAAGCACATGTCACCGGGTTCAGGGTTGCAAGCTTGTGCCAGATTTCGCCGTACGGGCGTACGGGTATTACGGCTGCCGTAAGTTACAGGTACATGCTCCGTACATGCACACGGTTTGGGTCTGGGAAGATGTATGAACAGTATATATGTATGTACAGTATATATGTATGTATGTATGTATGTATGTATGTATGTATGTATGTATGTATGTATGGATGTGCATTATCGCTGCCAGCAGCATCGGCTTGTCGCCGCGAACCACGGTAAGTAGCGTATCATACCGTACGGCATAGATTACACGGCCTCCCACTGGCAGCCGAATCTTGGAACCCGCTCCACCAAAAACCCCCCGTTACTTACCGGCTTACCTCGGCCCAGCGCCAAGACGATGATCGGGCTCCAGGTTGTAAATACAGATCGTGCCTCGGTAACTTCGCACTACTCCGTACTCCAGATCTGCATCTGAACAGGGGAAACACGTCTGGGGCGCTTGAGAAATGCGGCAAGAAATGCGGCAAGAAATGCGGCAAGATATGATATTGCCCGTCTAACAGAAGCGATACTATCTGGTAGAGATTGATTGGTTTGACGATGCTGCTCTCCACCATATCTGGCAGAAGGGCGAGGATTTGCAGTAAAGAAACCCATACACAACCCATCAAGGATATGATATATATATATATAACAGGCGAATGAATACATTGGGTGGATCGATATTCGGTTTATTTATTAATTTCTTTACTTATCTATGTATATGCCTGCTCCCCCCGTTTTGCCGCCCCATCTCACTCCATGTGAGGGTGGGGTATCCTTGCATCTGCTGTGACAGGGACAAAGAGTTCTCTGTCCCCCTTGCGTGCGTCTCATCCTTACCTATTCCAAATTTCCCATCAACTCGAGAATTTCTTTTCTTTTTTTTTTTTTTTTTTTTTTTTTTTTTTTTTTTTTTTAAAACTGAGCCGGGCACCGCTGCCCTGCGGCGGGATCGACGGAGCACCCCGTTTTATGAGCCGGCTGTCCAGGATCTCCAGAATCAGAACTGGCAGGGAATGGTATTTCACCTTGTCGACGGACCGGGTTGAGTAATCTTGGGGCAAAACGGGTAACTACTAAAAGCTTTGTAGTAAGAGCTGAATTCGGCGCTGACTTGTTTATCTGCGGATCCGAGGCGGATTTCTTATATTTACTCTGCGGCTGGTGCTGGTGCTGGTGTTGCTTCTCGTAATAAGAGACGGCGCTGCTCTGCTTCGGAATATTTCTCCTGGCTTTAACAGGCTACTTCGAGTTCGCCAGCCCCTGAATGGAGTGGATGGGATGCTGGAGCAGATTCTGGGTACGTGGCTGACTGTATTAGAATTTATCTTCTTTTCCACTCACGGTCATGTCCACTTTCTCTCTTGTTTGCGTTGTGTGTTTTTGGTTTTGTTGAGACGGAAGCTGCACCCACCAAACTCTCTACACAGCCAAGTCATCAGTCAGGGGAGATGAGATAGGGGAGGTAGGTAGAGATAGCGGCTCTCTACCCGCTAACATCCGTATCCAAGCTATCAACAGCGAATAACCAAACCAAACCTATGCGGCTATGGGGGCAAGCAAAGGGAGACAAAAGGGGCAAAAACATCAGTATGTTGATTGATTGATTGATTGATAGTCATATTCATATTCATATTCATAGTCATATTCATACATGATATCGACGTTCTTCCTCATGGAGGTTTTTCAGATACAGCTTTCTTCTTGTGCTCCTTTCTCCTTCTTCTCCCCTCACACAGGCCCTGTACTTCTCATGCAAAAAATTTCCTCACCTTTTCCCCATCCCTCCTCCCCATCCATTCTCTATTCCTCAAGCGAAAAGAGACGGACAGGAAGAGGACATGTCAGGGGCATGAAGGCTCCGGCAAATAGGAAGAGGAAGCGGAGGAGGCAATGACGCACGAAACACGAAACGGATAATGCAACAAGCGAAAAAGAAAAAGGAAGATATCATGAAGTGAAAATATGAGATGACAAAAAAAATTTTTTTATTATTATTTGGAAAAAAAGAAGAGGGAGGGGAGCTGTGAAGACGCACAACACATATAGAGTATGGATGTTAGGATGAGGGCAAAGAGAAAAAAAAGATATTGAAGACGGATGGGATGGTATTGGAAATCTTTGCTTGTTTCCCTTTTTTTTTTTTTTTTTTTTTTTTCCTTCGTTAGCTGCTTACAGGGTTTTTCTTCTTTCCTTCTTTCGTCTCTTCAAGATATACCAAACGGATATAAAAAGTCGGCAAAACGATAGTGGG